GGGCGAATGCACACCAGGCAGAGTGGGCCCGGGGACCCGGGCCAGAAGCGCGGCGCTCCGCCACACGCCGCCCGGAAAAGGGCGCAGCGGAGGCGACTGGGAGGCTTTTTAACGGGGCCCCCCGGCCGCGTTGGTGCCCCCGGGCGCACCAGCCCAAGCAAAGACTCTGCCCTGTGCTAGTTTATCCCCCCTCCCCGTGCTCCTTCCCCCCGCCCCCCCCCCCTCTCTTTGCCTTCCGCCCCTCTGCAAGGTATACTCGCGCCCTGCCTCTCTCCCCCCCCTCCCCTCCCCCTAGTCCCGCTCGCCTCCCCTCACCCGCAAGAGCGCCACCATCACTCCCCCTCCTCACTCCGCCCCGCCGCGTCTGTCTCCATTCGTGCCCCCTGCCCTTCTCCTTCGCCCGCCTTCGCCGACCTCCGATTTTAGGCCCTGTCTTCGCCGCCGCCGCCGCCGCCACCACCATCACCACCACCACCACCGTATTGACCCTGCCTCCCTCCTGACCCGCGCTCGCCTGCTTCCCGGCACGCGTCGGTCGCCTCCTGTGCTGCTCCTGGTGCCGCCCTCACTTTGCCCCATCCTCTTCACCTCTCGCCGCCTGCTGTGCCTCGGTCTGCTGCGCTCGCCTGCGCCGGACGGGATGGACTTTCACAACCCCCTTTTCCAACGCCTCGCCCGGTGGACCCTTTTCTTCCTGCTGAATCGGCAAAAAAACATCGCCCTCCGGAAGATGGCCCACTTCCGCACCCTCACCTTCACCACCGGCCTGGCCTTCGGCACCGTTGCCGGCGCCTACATTGCCCAGAACTACAACGTGCGCCCCTTTCGCGGTGGGACACTTTTTGCTTTGCCCCTTGCCCCCCTCCTCCCTCGTGCCCCCGCGCAGAGCAGACACACGCATACATCGACGCTCTCTGGTGGTCCTGACCCTCGGCTGTGCTTTTGCCCCGGCTGCTGCTGCCGCCGCCGCCGCCGCGACGCGCGCAGGTTCCCAACGTCCGCGAGTGCTTCAACACCCTGTACGACATGGTCATGGACATCGAGCGCGCCTCTCGCAAGAACGACTGAATATGCGCGTGCACTGCTTCATCCCCCTCCCCTCCCCTTGCGCATGAGAGAGAGAGAGGGGGAAGAGTCCTCAGAGGGGCGTGTGTGCACCCAAGCACATGCCCTTTTGTGGCCCCCTCCTCTCCTCCCTCCCCCCCCCCTTCTCCCTACTCCTTCTCTCCCCACGACCCTGCCACATGCCTTCCTCCTCAAACCCGCGCAGTGGGGGGCACCGCCCCCGGCCCCCGGGAAGGAATAAGGTGCAGCCAAAGGGCATGCATACTGGAGGGGAGTGGGAGGAAAACCGGCCATCCTCCTTCCCCCGTGCGCGTGCGTGCGCGCGCTCTCCCTGCCATAATAGATTACCGAACTGAAGTGTGGTTTTTCTTGCTTGTCGATGCTTCTGTCGCGCACATGCACCTCATGAGGGAGGAGGCGAACAATCCAGGCACATGGCCACACGGAGGGCGAGTGGGCAAGAGAGATAGAGAGAGAGAGAGAGAGAGAGAGAGAGACCACCAGGCAAATGGGGACATGTAGTGGGAGGTGTCCACGAAATTCCGAGAGCAAGAGGGGGCGCACACGGCCAGCAGTGTCCAGGCGGGGGCAAAGGGGCGACCATCCTTGCCGAGCTGCCCCATGGCCCTCTTGCATGAGGGCTTTCTCCTCGAGAAGAGAGGATTCTCCAGCAGTCGAGACGACATGGCTCCCACACACGGCACACGCTGTGCTCCCTCTCTCCCCCTCTCTCTCTCTCTGCCAGTGACGCGAGCGCAGATGGTTGAACTCACATGAACGTGGGATATATATGTATTGCCGGCTCTTGCGCTCTTTTTTTTTTGGCCGGCATCCCGCTCCCCCCTCCCTTACCGTGCCCCGCGCAGAGGAGGAGGGGGAAAAGAGGGGGGGAGGGA